TATTGAATTATTAATTAATCCCGGAAAGGAATGGTTTTGTTTTGCCATGAACTTTCCAAGTATTTGTTCTGACTTTTTTTCATCTACCATATTATTCTGCAGCTCTAAATAGCACATGTAAAATTATAAATTTATAATTATAATATAATATTTAAAATAATTATTTTTAAATTTAATTATAAAATAATACATTATATTATAAATCTATAAAATATAATATTACAACGACGTCATTTTAATTTTTTCATATCTATTTTTCATTTCTCCTCTCAACTCTCCATGTCACCTCAGTTACGTACATTGGAATTAGCAATCTACACGCAACTAGAAACTTCCATTAATTCTACCCCCAATATCCAAACTGTTTGCTTTCAAGTTATGAATATTCTCCCCCAATTTCGTGCAAACAATATGTTTTGACTTTGTTTTTCCCCTTCTTCAACCTAGAAATTCAATTAATCAAAATCCGCGGTTTTGAATTTTCTTCCTATATATTTTATATAGGCAAACCTTTTCTTGTTAACAATGATAAGTGTTCGTAAGGATTGAAGAGGCATATATATCAAGGTTTCACAATCAATATTTAATTATTTATTGTGCAACTAGAAATGATGTGACATATTTCTTTCATAAGATAAGGGATGATGTGGTCAAATGTATTTATATGATTAAAGTGGTTTAATTATTTAAACTAATTTCAAACATGGGAAACATGTGCAGTCTAATAATTGGTTACATAGTCCAGTGTTAATTACGACCCTTTTTTTTTTTTTTTTTTAATTTACACTCAAGTTACATGTTTTCAACTCATATTTTATGTATTTTGAGATTACTCTCTCCTTTAAAGATCTTAAAAATGCATTTTCACATTATCTTGGTGTACTTAAAAAAATTAATTTTTTTAAGTATTAGTTTTAAGATTTAAATTTTTAACTTGACTTATAAAATAATATTTATTTATTAATAGATTAAACTCTTAAGATTTACTAAATCTTAAGTTTTTTTTTTTTTGTTAAAAAACATCATGCCATGATTAACATAATTAATCAAGTCATGGTTTTTACTTTTTGGTTACATAATTCAGAGAAGTTAATTTGGACCACAATTTTGATGAATAACACATGCTAGATATATATAAAACGAAAAAAATGTAATAAACCTATTTGTCTATTTTGTCTTTATTTTTGGTAAAAACGCTTCAAGACAAAGGGAGGCATATTAAGAATAGAAGTAAATAAATTAAAAAAGAAAAAGAAAGAAATCTTGTGACAAATATGGGCGGTGGGCAAAAACTTACTTTTTAGTCCCTCA